GGTCACATCAAAACAATCAAATATTTTTGGGATTTTCTTTCATCTTAAAATAAAGTTTAATCTACATTACATGCAATTTCCTAACATGCAAACTATATGACATGCATATGATATTTTTGGCATTTTTATTAAAATTCGTAATTAGAAATTAATAAAAATGAAAGTCTATCTAAATCAAGATATTATCAAGTTTAAGTTAGGAAATCGGATATCCTTAACCCTGTCTTAACTTAGAAACCTATCTCAACACGGAATTCTATGGAGAAAAACTTATCTAACCTAAATATCATCTAGACATGTAATTTTAATTCAACAAGAAAGATATCTAAATTATCCCAACGTATAGAGGAAAACTCTATCTGGTCTATTCTATCTAACATGCAATCTTTTTGTATTTTAAAAACATTAAAGATAAACAAAATATCCAATCCACCTCAAGATATTCATCAAGATTCCAAACAAAAGATTACGATAATGGAAAAAATAATCCATCATCTTACGGATTAAATTAACAATTATCATAACCTTAACATCACCAATACCCACGAGAAATCAAAATAATTAATAAAATGATCCGAAGTCTTGCGGATCAAATTAATAATTATAGTGATTTTTACCAATAAAATTCTAATTGGATAATGCCTAACATCTCAAAGAATATCAAGTTAGATAACAATCCATCAAAACAGGCGACGAAATATTCAAACCGAATCGGATAGGGATTATTACCTATTTCGTGGATATTGCTTCCAAATCCAAACCCGATGGGCGACGGAAGGGACGGGGACTGTCGATGATTCACACGGCAATTCACGATTTGGGACCGGTAGCTCGCGGCAGTTCACAAGCGACGGTGGGCGGTCAACGACGTGGCTGGACTCGCGGTGGTGGTGAAGTTCACTTGGATTATTCAATGAAGCACTTGGATCGCTGGAAGGATGTGGTGCTGATAGGGGACGCGCGGCCAAGGACAGCCACCCGCTCAGTTCTCCAAAAGTCCTACAAGAAGAAATTCACACGTAATGGAGTTGTCAAGTGGCTGTGATGCTTGGGTGTCTTTGCATAAGAATTTGTTCAAATTCGTCAATGCGTGAAGCAACGGGATGCTCTAGATATGACCAACTATACTATGGGCGACCGTCGTTTGTCTTCGAAAGCGACTCAAGGGCAATCAATGGGGTCGGGAACGGCAGCGAAACTCGACGGACGGCACAAGGTCACGACTGAGCGGACGGCACAAGGTCACGACTGAGAAGGAGGATGCTCCGTCACGACTCCTTTTCTCAAGCTCTCTCTCTTTTTCTCTCAATGGTGGCCGTGTATGAAATTCTGTGACCTCCCAATTATGAACCCTAACATATCTATTTATAAGAGTTAGCCAGGATTATCTTGCAAGAGCCAAGATATATTATTTCCTAATTCTGATGCTCAACTTAGGCAATTTTCTGCTTTTTTTCTCTAGCTGAATGTTCATAGAATAATATGAATTATTTTCCAAGTATATTATTTAATAATTCGATAATTCAATTATTCCAACTTGCTCTATAATGCAAATTTCGGCCATACATGTATTCAATGGGCTTGGACAATCATTTAATCTTTTGGGCTGAGTTCAATCAATTAAGCTCAAAACCATTCACTTAAGTCCATCCGCCGCTAGTCCAATGTAAATGAAACTATATGAGCCTAAATACTAATTCAAATGCTCCTAATTTATATGCAATTTAACTAATTTTTTTTTGTCTAGGGACCGGGATCGATTCCTAATTTTTTTATGCAACGAACGACTACTAGGTCGTTAAAATTTAGGTGTCAACACTAATGAAGATAAATGGAACATATATTTGTCTTCTTTTCACCTACAAGAGAAACGCTATTTTGGCGAGCACTTTGCAAAATCTAATATCTCTAAAAAATCCATCTCAAAATCATCCGAATACCATGGGCAAAGAGCTATCATGCCACTTCATGTTCCTAGCAATCCTCAATGATATGTGCAAGCATTCCAATATAGTTTAAGAATTAGATAATCGATATATATCTCCACTTGTCACATCACTTTATCCAAGCAATTAAAAACAACAGATCGGGAAAAAGAGGGGACTGGCACGCAGTTCAACTCCAAAATGCGAAGCCACATTATTTAGAAGAGAAAAAGCATCCCCCAGATGAAGAAATTTAATGTTAGGTAGATCATATTGCTATGCCTAGGTATATACTTGAATACCATATAATGTCAGGTGGGTCATCTTGGCAGTTAGCCATGCGAACATTAGATAACTTTGCCAATAATGAAGCACATATGGACCGTTCAACAAAACTCGATTGACTTACTTTTTATTCATTTCAAAACTACCCTTAATGCACTAAGAAGGAAAAAATTAGCAATTAAATTATACAAAATTAGGGGTGAGCAAAAAGAATCATCCGGATAGGACTAAACCGGTTAGTTCTGAACAGTTCCCGATTCCATGTATGGAACTGCCCATCAGGACCAGAACGATTTTTTTTTTTTTTAATTTCTTCGAAATCTGTAAAAACTAAAAGGCCCTAATAATGTTCTTCATCTTACCCTCTGCTTGATCCTTACTTATACCCTCTATTGCTCACTCTTTCACAAGCCCTAATCGTATTTTTCATCTTCACGACTCTTACCCTCTGCTCCCCTCTTCTTCACAAGTATTAGCTTTTGCTCCCTCCTTTTCAAACCCTTGAGCCATTGCTGCTTCCATCTCATCCTAATAAAGACCAAAGCAACATGAAAACCAGTTAACATTAGTCCTGATCGAGGTGGACATTCCCAGGCGAGCATGTTCCACAAAGCAAAACCAACAATTGCTGATTGAACTAATCACATCGTAGCATCAGAACTCACAATCATTGGAAGGCAATGAAGCGAAGAGAACTGAGTAATGATCCATGTAAATGATCCATTTGCAAATTGAGGCAATTCTTGATCTATTTTTTTTCCTTTTTACATATGATTCAACATTTTACAAGCGCATAGCGCATGCTCGACTCTAATATAGACTAGTCCTCGTAAATGCCCGGTCCTTCTCTTGCTTTTTTTTTGGCGTTTGTCAAATTTGGCATTCTCGTGGGTCTCCCCAAAAGCTGATAGTAGGGACAACTATCTGGTCGATTCTTTAATTATCATCTTAAGTATAATATCAAATAGTATGGTCAAATTAATCAATCGATCAACCAACCAACCAAGAGCACCATAATCTAATCTCCCCCTCATCTCAATAGCCTCACCTCGTTTATTAATTTATTTCACACGTTAGCATATTGAACTGATGCTTTATGAACCGCATGCCTACTTGGGATTCCCTCCCTTAAAGAAAGAATCGAATTTTCATTAAACTTCAAAGGCAAGAAAAAAGGAGTGGGAATAGATGAGCTTGAGAGAGAGTGATCGATTGGAGGAGGATAAGTCCACCTTGAAAGATATGGATAGAGACGATAGAAAAACACAGCAGAATCTAGGCTCTTTTTTTTATTTAACTATATGTTCCTAAAGTTACACAAGGTGGGGTCCAAACCTAGGCCAAATGTCGTGTAACAAGGCATAATTTTATCGATAATGATGTTAGTTGAAGACTAGTTTAATCCGAGAAAAACATGGTTTTAGGTGCTTAGAATAGAGGGTTAGCCCGCTTTCGGAAGATTTGCCAAGATCTCGTGAGGACCTTTAGTAGCATATATGCTTACATCAAGCGCCAACGCTTGCTTTAATTTGTTCGCGAATTCATTATTTTATCATTAAATTCGGGTATCCTAAGAGCAACTCCGAAAAGGGTCAACATGGGCAAATTCTTTTGCGCCTATTTAATAATGTTTTTCGACAGGAAATGTTGCCAAAGAAATCATTTTTGAGTTGAATACGAGAATTAGACACGATTTCGTGATTTTTATATCCATTAGTGGAAGTGGGGACGACGGAAATGTGCACCCTCGTGCACCAAAACAAGTAATTTTTTTTCTTGGTTTATTTTTTTATAATTTATTAAATATAAGCTTCCAAAGAGGACAAACGAAATCGATTAGTTTAACTCGAGCTAATCTTTTTTCTTGGGTTGGAATTACAGTCAACTAATCTGTTGGGTGTCAATTTAGTCACTATTAGATTTTGTTGCAAAAGTTAGATCCTCTTTACTTTAGGGGTGATTACGTTCCCATCTTCTTTGACTTTTTTTCCGTGACTATAAATATTATAATATTTGCCTTTTGTTTTTTTGTCTTTTCGCACATGGAATATTTGTTTCAAATGTCCAGCTGCCAATTTGCAAGATAACCAAAAAAAAAAAACAAAATTCCGACTTTAAGTAATAAAATATTACACATCACATATCGTTTAAGTTCCTATGCAGCACCGCAACATTTTCTTCATTACGATTTACCAGCTTAGTGTACCTCTGGTTTTGTAACATATTAATAAATGGACGAAAACAAATTATTATAAAGTAAAATTGTACCTCCTATTGATTTAATCGGTTGATCAAACTTTTAAATTATAATTGCTCGTACCAAAAACAATTACATAACAAATGGGTCACACAAAGTATGACCCATATAATAGTTCTTGTTTGCTTGCTTAGTTGTGTGGTGGCCATTTAATTGAAAGGTTGATCGATAATGCCATTGATCTTGGTCCATTTTGAAACCTTTTTTATTTGGAAATAGAACTTAACTTCAAGTCCACATGATGCGAGCCTTCATATAGCATGCACTAGATTAATGTGAGTCGTCAAATTCTGTAGGACTCACTCGATACGCACATGATTTAAGGGCTCGTGCGTATCGGACTCGCACGAATAGGCTCGATGCAAAAATTACTCATTTTCATGTTCAAAATAGATCATTTCCTATTCCTTCTTCCTACTTTTCATCTGCCTTGACCAAAGGGTGCGGCTACTGTATCCACGAATAAAATAGGGTGCTCGCATGAAATACACAACTCATTCGTCGATTTTGTTTATTCATCATAGTCTTAATTTATTAATGGTTGGAAGACGTGGGTTATCCTATAAAAAGGCAGTGATGAAGCTATAAACACACAAGCGGAAGTGCTAATCAAACCTACCTACATACTAGCCGCCTACAAACACAATTTTTTTCTGCTCCTTTCGATTATCATCATGTCAAGCAAATCAGTCTCCAATCTCACTCCTCCTACATGGGACGTTGATATTAGACACGACAGTAGCTCTTTTCGTGATGATGATTCGTCTTCTTGCATTCAGAAGCAGCAGAAGAAGAAGGTCAAGCTGTTCGGGTTTGACCTAACGACGATCGGACCCTGCAAGTACCAAGATGAAGAAGAAGACACCCCAAAATCAGATCTTGTGGAGAGAGATGAGCACGAGAGCGTGAACTCATCAAACACGGTCCCATCTTCATCGAGAGACAACAAGAGCAAGACACCTCCGGCCAACAACAACAACAACGAGAGATCACCGTCTGCTTCGACCTCCGACCTGCACGACGACGACCGAGTGAAGAAGCTCTTCGAGTGCCAATACTGTGCCAAGACGTTCGCGAACTCGCAGGCCTTGGGCGGTCACCAGAACGCCCACAAGAAGGAGAGGATGAGGAAGAAGAAGTTGCAGCTCCAGGCCAGGAGAGCGAGCCTCAACAGTTACCTCCAAGCGTATCGAGATTATTACTATTGCAATTCGAATGGGGTTCTTAATTTCGGAGGGTCCAATGATGATCAGTGGTCTCTTGACTCTTCCTCATGCTATGTCTCTGGTCCTGATCATCAGTTTGCGCTCTGCGATCAGGCGCCCCAGATTAGCTTTGGCGACGCGGCAGATCGTCGAGAAGGTCTTCCTTTCGGAGGATCGACTCGAGTTCAAACCTGGCATGCTCCTGCTGTACTGCCGGCTAATACCGGTTATTATCAGCATAAGAAATGAATGTCTGCTGAAACATGGACAAGGTAGATCATCGTTGACAGTTGTATTGTCATGTAATGACTTTGAGATTTATTTATACAAATTATTTTGGTCTCTAACTCCAGCAGCTGCAGTAGATAACTTTGCACGAAGTGTTCAAACATTTACATGTTGGGAAATTGTGTCCGAGTCTTGGACGTCCAAAAACACGCGTATCTACCCTAAATTGTGTTGCGAAAATTCAAATCGGCGTTAGCATAAATTTTACAAACAATACAGTATTGTAAAGAAACGAAATTGCAATAACAAAGTTGGAATCGATACAAATGAATACCGAGGCCTGTGTTTGACACAGTTTCCTTAAAACAGATTCGTTCCCTCCAGTACGCGACCGAGGTTTCGTGAACGTCTGTCTCCCAGGATACAACGGTTGACAGCGAAGAAGAGAGCACGGCACTTCCAAGCTTCCGGCGAACTTGAACAAACTCGAAATGAACACTACCGAAAAACAGTGCAAATGCAGAGAGAGTTTAAAACCAGAGGAAGAATGATTTCGATAAAAAGGAACAGAGGGGAGAGCAATTCGGGAATAATAACGGCCGATTAAATCTGTCGTTACAAAATCAATACGAATAACAGACGATTAAATCTGCCGTTATAAAATCAATACGAATAACGGACGATTAATTCTGCCGTTATAAAATCAATACGCATGGGAATAACGGTTGATTAAATCTGCCGCACGTTACGAAATTCGTAACAGTTTGACTTGAAAAAATAAATCAGAAGGCAAAATTGGGCTCGTCGCGAGGCCCACTTTTCGGTCCTGCAATCGTGTACGCGGGATGTGCGCTCGCGCCCAAGTTTCAACTTGTCGGGCGTCGGATTTGCACCCCCTGCGCCTGCGCGCGAGGCAGAGAGTTTGTGCTATGATAATTACCACTTCAAATAAGTGTAACTGTATATAAAGCACTCCATAGCCTTCTTTCTTTTCCGATGTGGGAATAGTGTTTTTCCACTTCCCACTTCCCACTTCCAACTCAAGGGTGTTCTTTGAGCATCAATTTCTCATTCATTCACCCATCAATTTATCCCATATTTCCAACAAATTGAATGGTTCAGATGTCTTGGGATGCATGCAATAATTTCTTTTTGTATAGGAAACTCACGTTTCACTCGGAACAAGAGAGAGACCGTGTCGAATGATATCTAAGCAAGTGATAGGCACCTAAAAAAATGACAGACAATTTACTTATCACGACGAACAGGTCGACGCATCCCTCAAATATGAAGATAGTTAATTTTGAGTTTGAACTTTGAAATGGACATTTGTCTTTAATTAGGTACCTTCTTTATAGGTATAATTAAGCAACATGTATACTGGAAATCCTAAAACTTATTACGAAAATGCAATTGAGTCCTAAAACTTGTAAAAAGTATAATCAAGTTCTAAAATTTTTCAAATTGATGCAAGCGAATTCTTCCGTTAACCAAGTGTCCAACCTGGTTAATGGAAAATGCCAACTTAGCTTTTCTATATTATTTTCTCTCTTACGTGGCGATGATATGACTAAAATAATATCGGTTTGGCCCAAATCTTATTTTAATACAAATTTTATATAAATTAAATTTAAAAATAAGCTAGAATTAAAAAAAAAACGAATGGTGGAGAACCAAGCGGCAAGGACTTGCACGGCCCTCATCATCACCAGCCCACCATGCCAGTGAGGGTTGCCGAGCCTTGGCCAGTGGCCGGGGACCCTTGTCAACCGCAAGTGAGGGCCTGGCCCTCACCCAAATTTGGGTTAGAAGAAAAAAGAAAAAGAAAAAAAATGATAAAAAATTCAAAACAATTTAAATTAAACTGTCCATGTCAGCGCCGTCCGTGCCTACGTACCATGGCCAGCGCTAACTGGACCACCACGTCAGCGATTTTCAGCCAAAATTGGCCAGAATGACTAAATTGGCAAATCGTCAAAAGATTTAGGACTAAATCGGTAAATTGTCAAAAGTTTTAGGATTAAATTAACACAATTGAAAGGTTTAAGACTGAATTAATAACTAGTCAAAAGATTTAGGATTAAAATTGGTCAAATTAAAAGGTATACGATTGATTTAACACAAATATAATAGGTTTAGGAATATTTTGGTAATTTTCCTCTTCCTTATAAGTATAGTTAATGCACAAGTATCTAAAAGATGACCACTTGATTGAGCATTATCTTTTGGGATATTGGTCAATGTGACCACGGAGCATCCTGAACCTTTGCAATGTAGTAGAGACATACGTAGCATATCTAACCTTTACGAAGGAGCGACTCTGACTGGGATGGCAGTGGCAATTGCACGTTTGTGATTACTTGTCAAACCCGAGTTATTCATTCGTGTCAATACTGTTCTAAATATATATATATATATATATATATATATATCCTAAGAGATGAATTTATCGCTAATTTGTGCCATTTTCGAACCCGCTAGTATTGACCTCATCTCCCGCATGAAGGGAGGTACGATGTTGCATGAGACACATGAATATCAAATCATCTCAAGATCGACACCTGATTACTCTGTGTCTAAACTTTGTCCATGTAGATTAGGTCCGGAGTTGGGACATACTGTGCAATCAAGTCGAGTCGAATTGGGTCGATACGATACCGGGCTCGAGCTCAACTCCGACTCAAGTTGTAAACTCAAAGCTCGAAACTCAATTTGAACTTGATCGAGTAGTTGTTTTTTTAAACTTAAACGTACTCGAGCTCGACTCGCACAAACCGATTTTAAGCTTATGGAACTCAATATACTCTATGCTCAATGTTCCCATGTTCGAATAAACGACCTGGGTTCTGTGATATCATCTGCTGCTCGACCAAGCAGTAAGAAAAGCACTAATGGGCTGCTTACTAGGAGGCTAAATCCAAGCCCATAAATTGGGCTCTTACCTATATGTTTAAGTCATATTTCCGCAATTATCCTCGCATCAAAAGGTAAAACTATCGATCATCCGCTCTTTCGTCAAGTTAACACTCGATTAAACAATTATTCGATTCCATAATAAAATGATTTATTTTTTCTTTATACGTAAGCCTTCCAATGATCACGTACGCGCTTAGCGAATACCTCAACATTAGTAAAAGTATAGTCGGATTTAATCGCGGAATCGATGTTAGGCCTTGCTTGAAAATTAAATTCTTCGGGGCCTAGGACGATTAGGGGATTTAATAAGGGGTAGCCCGAATTTCGAAATGAACTTGTCACGACTTGACATTGTTCGCGTGGTTGGGCTAAATCCCTAAAAGGAGAACCTCGTTAATGGCTTTTTGTGAGCCTTTACTGTATCAGCACATGACGACCTCGCCCCTATCTTAGATTAGCCAAAATCATCGAAGATACTATTATTCTTATAAGATACATTATGTTCCATCATTACTCATATTGTTTATGTCCTAATTAGTAGATTTAATTATTCGAAATAGTGAAAAAAAAAACCATTAGTCAGGTTACAGGCGGGCTTTGGGTTCTTCCACACTTAATTGGAATGTGTCCAAACTTCATTTGGATTTACAGACTTATCCCGAATTCGAAATCAGTTCAGACAATATTCAGGATTAATGTTCAGATTTGCAATGGCAGCTTTTAATGTACATATAGTAAATGACACAAATAGTCTCTGAACTTTGGCTCAATGTACAGTGTGATTCATGAACTTTAGCCTAATGTACTTTTTTTTTTTGGTAAGGTAAGATGTATATTGACTTTTCAAAGCGTAACCTACATATGATGTAACCGAAACACAAAAACCTCGTACCTGAAACGACACCCAAGGTGTCCTAACAGGTGCAAAGGTGTAACGGATAGTGAGCTCAAAAGCATCAAACGCAAAATACAGCAGGGCCGAAAAACGACCAACCGACTACAAAAGAGAGCCAACAACAACCAAAGAGGATTAATCAAAGATGGTAGGCGAGATGCCCCAATTGACTTGGATCCTTCTGTTGCGAGGATTATCTTCAACAGGCTTGAATGACAGACCTCTTGTTAGTGGTCTGCCCTAGGAATCAATCAAGGTTGATACTCTAATATTAGTTGTGGATTAGGTTGTGTCGGAAAACCGATCTTCACTATACTTAGGTAGTCATAATGTGTTGCTAGAGACCGCTTATGACTTGTGGGCCAAAAGAGTTTTGGGTACACTGCTAATGTTTAGTGAACCTACAGGGTCGCACACAATAGTGAACGGACTTAATATTGTCTATGCGCCTTGATCTACTTAAGAAGTAGATTTTAATTTATTCTCCTATTTAAATTATCTATGCGGTCGTACGCGTTATGAGATAACGATTAAACGTACGATTGAAGGTGGACGGTTTGGCGGGCCCAAATAGCCCGGCCCACTTCTTTTAATTCCGCTAGATAATGAGGCTGTATAAATAGATAGAGAATCGTTCTCTGTCTAGGGTTTTTTCGAAAGAGTATCGAAAATCAAAAGGCGTTCAAGAAAAGGAACTTCAAGATCTTTCGCTAGCACGTGGATCGTTGGAGAATTCCGTTCGTGTGTGTGGATACCGGTAGAGGCGCAACACTTGGGGCGCTCATCCAGACACAATCAGTTGCTGATTTATCTTCGATCTGAAAAAGGTACGTATCGAACTTCAGTCTTGATTTCAATATACACATGGATCCTGTCTAGGGTTCTATATTCCACTGCGTTGTTTTTCGTTGTTGAACCCTACAGTGGTATCAGAGCTGCTTGTGATATATTGAAGTTGAATTGGAAACCCTAATTGTTGATACATATGATGTATGCCTGAAGTGAGTCTAAATTAGGGTTAGAAGAATTTGAAATACGAATTGATATGATCAATTCGGAAAGGAACGAAGGTGGATGGGTCGATGTCGATCCTGTTCCGCTCGCGTCGAGGCAGTGACGGCGTCGCGCCTGGGCTGTTGCCCGAGGCGGAGACGGCGAAGCGAAGACGGCAGGCGGAAACGGCGTCGCGCCTGGGCTATTGCCCGAGGCGGGGACGCACGGGCGGAGACAGTGGGCGGAGATGGCGGCGCGTCTGGGCTGTTGCGCGAGGCTGAGACGGCGGTCGGAGACGGGGGCGCGTCTGGGTCTGTTGCCCGAGGCGGAGACGGCAGCGCGCCTAGTCTTCCGGCGC